AGGGCGCCTGGGTGGCTCAGTCGGTTAAGCGTCTGCCTTCGGCTCAGGTCATGATCCTGGAGTCCCGGGATCAAGTCCCACATCGGGCTCCCTGCTCAGTGGGGAGTCTGCTTCTCCCTTTGCCCTTCACTCTGCTCGTGCTCTCTCTCTCAAATAAATAAATAAATAATTTTAAAAAATAGCCCCAAAGTCAATGATACATGTTTTGGTCAGCAAGAAACAGAACAAGATATTAGCAAAATTCCTCTATCAAATAATGCACCGAACATCAAGGAATATCAATGGCATGCCACGTGGAAGAGGAACTGAGCTTCTGTGTGTGCTGCCAGATAATTTCAATTTACCGTTGATCGGAACCTCTGTGGATGACTCAGTACCTTTCATGTGTGAGGGTCAGATTTGAGGGCCAAGGTATGCAGTGGAGAAGGAGCCCAGAGACCTGTTAAGTCGGCAGCCAGGAAGAAAAGGAGCTGCTCTACAGAATAATCACACTGAATGCCAATCTACACCACTGCTGTTTTTCTCCAAGAACGGCTGATGATCTAAATAATCTGATCTTCATTTGGTACTGAAAAAAAGGATAAACATTTTGAATCAAACTACAGTCACGGACAATCTGTCTTTTGAATGTGCAGTAGGCCAGGGAGTACCAGGGTTTGCTTTCTACTCTGCAATACACTGCCTGTTAAGGCGAAAGGTACTCACATGGATATGAGAAATGAGGAACAATACAAAACTATCTCTTCGTGACACTGAGAAGGCCAAAAAGGCCATTTCTATGATCTCAAAGGACTGGCTTGCATAGTTTATGTCAGAAATCAATATTTGGAACAGCCTGAATCTTGGCCAAAATATCGTGACTTTTTTTTTTAATGCTAGAATGTTGGGATAACTCGGTTATGACCAAACTGCAATATAAGTAGCTAAGTCTCCATGAGTTTGACTCCCTCAGTAGTTGACAGTTTTCATTACCAATTAAATGAATTTTTCATATATTATTGCATCCTTTAAAACTACACTGAAATGCAGCAAAGCAATATAAACAAACATTTTGTGATGGCTGAACTCTCTCCTGTATGAGAGAGGAGATAAAGCTGGAAAGCGGGACAGGGAGCAAACTTCAAACCACTTTACCTGCATTGCTGAGGTGTTTGGACTTGGTAACCCTTAGTTGGTAAGGACAATTTAAGCAAGGAAGCAAAATGAACAGGCATTTTAGAATGACTGATCTGACGTTAGTGTGAAGGACATATTTAAGGGAGTATAGCTGGAGGCAAGGAAACTGTCAGCAGGCAATTTAAACACCTTTGATGAGAAATAACAATCTAAGAGAATGACAGCAAAATTCAAAGGGGGAGGAATCAAAAGATACCTAAATGGAAATAACAGGACTTGATCACCAGTGGGACCTGGGGGAGGAAGGAGGAGTTTCCTGGTTTGGGGACAATTTGCTGAGACTGGGAAAACAGAAGGTAGGCCATGTGTACTGGTTATCTATCACTGTGCAACAAGTTACCCACAAAATATAGCAGTTTAAAACAACCAATGTTTATTACCTCCCAGTTTCTGTGGGTCAGGAATCTAGGAGAGGCTCAGCTGGGTGGTTCAAGTTCAGGGTCTCTCATGAGTCTGCAGTGGGGATGTCAGCTGGCGCTGCATCATCTGAAGGCTTGACCAGGGCTGGAGTTGCAAGGAGTTCACTCACATGCCTGGCAAGTAAGTGCTGGTTGTTGGCAGGAGATGTCAGTTCCTTTCCAAGTGAACCCCTCTATAGGGTTGCTTAAATATCCTTCTGTTATAGCACTTGGCTTCCCCCAGATCAAGTGATCCAGGAAAGAGAACCACGAGGAGGCCACAATGTCCCTAATGACCCTGAAGTCTCACACCATCACTTCTGCCTTATTTCATTTGTTAGAAGAAGGTCATGAGGTCTGCCCACATTCAAGGACAGGGGAGACTTAAGCTCTGCCTCTTGAAAGGGAAAGTACAAAGAATATGGGTGGATAAATCTTAAAATCACCACACCACATAGGTGGATAATGAGTTCAACTCATGCTGAATTTGAAATGCTTAAGACATTCAGCTGGAAGTGTCCAGCAGACGGATAAACATACCCTTAGATAATTTATTGCTGAATTTAGCAAGAATAAAGTTGATAGAATGACAGAGTTAGAAGCAAGGTGGCAGAATTAAGGAGAAAATGAAAGATAAAGGAAGTAGGGTCAGGCTACTCCCGAAAACTTCACCCTAAGAGGAAGTCAACAGTTAGAGGTCAGAGTAGGGGATTTGGGTGGACAAAGGTGGCAAAGGTCTTGGTAGAATCCCTTGTCGATTGACTTGGGCCAGAGGAGGGACCTTTTTACTTGAGTGAGAAGGAAAAGAAGAGAGAATGGGTGCTATCTAGTGTGGTCCTGTCTCTAGGCAAATAGATAAGGAAGAAACTATCTGTTAGGAATATAGATGCAACCCCTGGAGGAACATATCTCAAACTGGTTTGTTACCTAAGTCTCCCTACCTTCTCTTGTAGGCAGACCCCTGCTACATCTCCCTGGCCTGTTGTAGGTTTGTCATTCTGACTTACCTACTTTCCTGTTCCCAAACTTCTCATAACCCCTACTCCTCCCTGGAATGGCATTTGATTGGGCTGCCTATAGACAGACAGTGACTTCAGCTTGTCCTCAGAATCTCTCCTATGGAAAGTACCCATCAGTAGCCCCGATAGACTTGGTAACTTGGGGCCCTGCCCTGCTCCCAGTCTGTGGTCTAGTAGGATCCCTGCCTCGATCCCTAGTAGTACGGATAAGATATTAAAATATCTTTGAATCATAGTCTGTCATATTCCTCAGTGTGGATGAAACTGTTAATGCTGGTGTTTCTGTACTAGAGCTCCATTTTAGTGTCTAGATTCTTTCATGTATTACCTTTCAGCTCCACTAAAACTTGTTTTAATACAATGTTCAATACAAATGTAGTTCCTTTTCTGTTTTTTATGGCCTCAACAAAATTTGACCAACAGTAGATGAACATTAAACTATGACAATTCATGGAAATGAATATACTGATACCAGCAAGTCCCCATTTTAGCAGTTACCATGGTGACAATGTGCACAAATGGCTATTTAAAGGTGCCATTCTTTGAAACATCTTATTAGGCACAAGATATTAAAACTAATGAAATCATGGAGAAATTCCTTATTTTTAACATCTTAATGAAGAGGGTGATTAAGCTAGTAATAATTTAGCAACTATTTTGAAAGCAACTACTCCAGGTCAAACACTTTTCTAGGATTTTTTGTTTAAGTTGTCACATTTAAAACTCAAAAAGCCACTAACAGCCAGGTATTATGTGTTCTCCTCAGGACAGTTGAGGAAACAGGGATCGGAGAGGTTATGCAATTTGCTCAAGTTCACACAACTTGGATGTAGAAAACCTGCAATTTGCACAGGATCTCACCTAAGTCCAGGCTTTTTCCAGTATCTCACATCACCCCTCCAACAATTAGTAACAAATTTTGAGTATAACTATCTTGACCTCTAACTGGATATTGCCCCCAAGGTCATTCACAGTCATACCACCCTGCTTTATTTTCTCCAAAATAACTGACTGCAACCTGGAGTTTTCTTATTTATTGCCCATCTCCTCACTAGATTATGAACTCAATGAGAAGAGGTTCCTTGTCTCTTTTATTTCCCACTGATCATCAGTACCTAGAACATTACCTAGCACAGAGCAGGTGATAAATAAATATTTGTTGAATTAACAAATGGCTGGAAAATTCAAAGGAAGAAAAAGCACTAAAACAAATGCTTATATAAATATACATTTTTTTAAAAAAAGCATTTGACAAGTTTAAGGCAGAATTGAAATTATGATTGTTTTAAAGAAATACCCAAGTGCTTATTTGAGAAATACTGTGCTATTTTTTTCCATGCACTATTTCAGTAAAGCAGTTAGCAAACTTGTAAGATCATAATAACAAAGATATGTTTCTATAATTCTGAAATTGTGTCCCAAAAGTTCCTCTTTAGAAAGACAAATACCATATGATTTCACTCATATGTGGAATTTAAGAAACAATACAAATGAACATAAGGGAAAGGAAGGAAAAATAAAATAAGATAAAAACAGAGAGGGAGGCAAACCATAAGAGACTCTTAACTATAGAAACATACTGAGGGCTGCTGGCGGGGGGGTAGGTGATGGGTATTAAGGAGGGCACCTGAAACAATAATATACTATATGTTAACTAACTTGAATTTAAATTTTTAAAAAAGTCTTTATTTTTACCAGCGAAATAAATTCAAAGCACATAGTAAATGTGGCTGGGCATGGAGCCCACTTAAGATTCTTTCTCTCTCCCTCTGCCCCTCCCCCCTTTCTCTTTCTCTCTCTCTCTCTCTCAAAAAAAAAAAAAGAGTGAATCTTCCTATACACAAATGGTACCTGCAAACCCAAGAAGAAAACCACCAAAAACCCAAAAACCCAAAATAGAAAGGTGTAAAAATAATGAATGGACAGTTCACAGAAAATACAAGTGGCTCTTCAACACCTACGGTGTTCAGCATCACTTTTAATAAAGGAAATGCAAATTAAAACTATAAATGTATTTTACCTATCAGTATGACAAAAATTTAAAAACTTTGGTACACATCACCATGTGGGTGAGTGTATGAGAAAATTGGCACTCTCACTTTTTGCTAGTAGGTTGTATATTGATAACTTCTATGGAGGGCAGTATGGCGAGATCTATTAAATTTACAAATGCATATGTCCTTTGACAAGGCAATTCCACTCTAAGAACGTATTCTATAGATTTATTCTTTCCAGGGCTGAGAACTGGGGAGCAGGGAACAGAGGCAGAAGGTAAATGTCTTTTTACCTATATCCCCTTGTGAATATGTTGAATTTTGTATATTGTTCTTTATTACTTTATCACAAAGTGCAATTTTTAAGCTGTGTTCCTATAAAAGAAATCATATTTATTTACTCTCCCCTTCAGTTAAAGCCAAAATAGAGAAGGAAGTTCCACCTATGAAGGAAGTAGAGAAGGTCCTGACCCTCTGGGCAACAGATACAAAGACTATCTTCCAGAGACAGGAATTCACCGAACAAAATTAAGAAAGGACTACAAGAATTGATACTTCTCTAGATCTTGAGCAAGTTACAGATTTCTCTAAATTGAGCGAGAGGCGGAAGCAAGTTCTGTCCTCCTGAGGGCCCTGTTCCCCCCTGAGGAAAGATAAGGGGCATCACAGAAGAGCTCATAAGACAACAGGAGGAGATGAAAAGGACACAAATGGAGGAAAACAGTCACACCATCACATGATGATCAAATGTTACACGAGGAAGAATAAGAAGTGAAACCAAAATGTTGGAAAAGTCAGTGAAACAGAAGACTCATTTGAGAAAGTGGAATAGAGGAAAACAAGGAAGAAAGTGATTAGAAAAATGTTAAATATGGAAGATAGAGATGTGACATACAGACAATTGCTAATTCTAAAGAACACAACAAAACTGATGGTATAGCGGAAAAAATTAAAGACATACAGTGAAGGAAAACTTCCCTGAATTTACATAACTCAATCCATGGACTGAAAAAATTCATTATATACCCAGAAAAATCATTAGAGTACAATCAAGACAGGATGTGTCCTGACAAAGTTAACTGGTGCTCAAGGGCAGACAAATAACCTGCCAACAATGAAGCAGAAGCAGCAGATGACGCATAATAGGGAAGCAAGTTAAACCCTCTACAATCTCCTCTGGTCTTCTCCACAATATTAGATGATAGGAGACAAAAGAGCAAGGCCAATGGAGTGTTGAATGAAAGAAGGGACTCAAGAAATCTTTATAAGTTAAAATGTCACTCATACTTAAAGGAAACAAAAAGTCATTATAAAATTAGATGGAACTCAAAGATTATAGCGCTCAAGAGTCCTTTAGAAAAATGCAGTCATAATTTAGCCAATTAAAAGTTAAATGTAGGGCGCCTGGGTGGCTCAGATGGTTAAGCGTCTGCCTTCGGCTCAGGTCATGATCCCAGGGTCCTGGGATCGAGTCCCGCATCGGGCTCCCTGCTCCCTGGGAGCCTGCTTCTCCCTCTGCTTCTCTCTCTGTCTCTGTCTCTCATGAATAAATAAATAAAATCTTAAAAAAAAAAGAATATTTCTTTAAAAAAAAAAGTTAAATGTAGGGGTGCCTAGGTGGCTCAGTCAGTTAAGCATCTGCCTTTCAGCTCAGATCATGGTCCCATGGTCCTGGGATGGAGCCCCGCATTGGGCTGTCTGCTCAGCAGGGAACCCATTTTTCCCTCTGTCTACTGCTCTGCCTACTGGTGCTCTCTCTCTCTCTGTATCCAATAAACAAATAAAATCTTTTTTAAAAAGTTAAATGTAATAATGTGCTCATTAACGTAAAGTTCACTGCATGAAACCACACTGGTTCCATCTGGCAATACAACATGCATGGTTTTCCTGAAATAAGCCAACTCATCTCCTCCTTCCACTTGTGTCCCCTACAGTCCACTCTCAACATGGCAGACATAGTGACCGTGTAACATCTTCAACAGAGCCCTCCAGTGGCTCCCCATATCACTCAGTGTGAAGTGCAATCTGTGCACTGGTCTACAAGGCACCCGCACATGTCCTCCTGACACCTGCAACCGTGTCTCCCACACTGCCCTGGAGCTCCCAGCATTCTTGCTGCCCTCAAACATTGGGCATGCTCCTCCTCAGGGTCTTTGCTCCAGCTGCTTCCTCCTCTTGGCATGATTTAACTAACTCCTTTGCTCACTCTAAGGCTTTGCTCAAATGTCATCTCTCAGTAGGACCCTCCATGACCAACCTATTTAAAATTCTAACCCATCCCTCCGGGCACCCTGGATGTCACTTATCCTATTTTGTTTTTATCTCCATAGTTCAGCACTGGTTCTCTTCTAACATAAAATTTCATTTACTCATTTATTACATTTATTTTTTGCTACCCCCGATTGTACATACACTCTAGGGGCCAGGGATTTCTGTCTTCTTTTTCTTCACTCATATAACCCAAGCACCTAGAACAACATGTGGTTTGGGGTATTCCGTATATACAAAATTAGCAGTAGCACTGAACTGGTTAAGCACAGAGTTATTTCTAAATATAATTAAGTCTATCGGCTGTAGCAACTTTTTTCTAGATATGTCTCGTGAGGCAAGGGAAACAAAAGCAAAAATAAACTATTGAAACTACATCAAAATAAAACTTCTGCACAGTGAAGGAAACAATCAACAAAACTAAAAGTCAACCCATGGAATGCAAGAAGATATGTGCAAATGACATATCCAATAAAGGGTTAGTTTCCAAAATATATAAAGAATTTATAAAACTCAACACCCAAAAAACAAATAACAAAATTAAAAAATAGGCAGAAGACATGAATAGACATTTTTCCAAAGAAGACCTACAGATGGCCAATAGACACAGAAAAGACACTCAACATCGCCGATATCACCGCACACCTGTCAGAATGGCTATAAAATCAACAATACAAGAAACAACAGTTGTTGGCAAGGATGTGGAGAAAAAGGAAACTTCTTGCACTGTTGGCGGGAATGCAAAGTGGTGCAACCACTGTGGAAAACCATGGAGGTTCCTCAAAAAGTTAATAATAGAATTATCCTACAATCCAGCAACTGCACTACTAGGTATTTACCCAAAGAATACAAAAATACTAATTCAAAGGGATACGTGCACCCCAAGGTTTATAGCAGCAGCATCTACAACAGTCAAATTATGAAACAGCCCACACATCCATCAACTGATGAATGGATAAAAAAGTTGTTATATATGAATACTACTTAGCCATAAAGAAGAATGAAATCTTGTCGTTTACATCGACATGGATGGAGCTAGAGAGTATTACGCTAAGCAAAATTAAGTCAGCAGAGAAAGACAAATACTATATGATTTCATTCATAGTGGAATTTAAGAAACAAAACAAATGAGCAAAGGAAAGAAAAGAGAGAGGCAAGCCAAGAAACAGACTCTTAACTATAGAGAACAATATGATGGTTACCAGAGGGGAGGTGGGTAGGAGGATGGGCTAAATAGGTGATGGGAATTAAGGAGTACACTTGTTGTGATGAGCACTGGGTATTATGTGGAAATCTTGAATCACTATATTGCACACCTGAATACTGCATGTTAACTGATTGTAATTTAAATACAAACTTTATTGTGTATTTAACTTTATTTATAAACTAAAGTTACATGGGTTAGATACAGTCACCTATCTGAGCAATGTACCATACCACAGTGGGAGGAAGCAGGAAGCAAGCACAACCATGTTCCTCATGGGAGGGAGACTAAGGGAGAAACATGACAACCAGCCATTATTGTAATGGCTGTAATCCTATAAACTCAAATCTAACCAAAGAAATCTCCCTTCCAGGACACAGGCCCACGTTGAGAAAAACTGCTGGGGGTACACTCAAAGTTGAAGAGGACAAGGATATTAAGGACAAAGGAAAGAGAAGCTCCAGATAAAAGCAGGGGAGGAAAACAGAGCCTGTACATCTCATTGAGCCCAAGGCCATGGATCTGAACACCTTGTGAGAACAACAGGAGAGAGAAACCAGGAGGCTCAAAGCTGGGAAAGTTATCCTGCCCCACCCCTTCCATCTGGCTTAACTGAAAGCAACAGAAAGGAAGTCTGGTCAAATCCCACATTAGGGTATGATAAGAAAAAGAAAATTTTGAGCAAACCAATGCCCCTACTGACAGCGAAGGCATGCTAGAGAGACAGGCTCATGAAACAGATGAAAAACTAGAACGGTATTTCTGAACAAACTGAAAGACATGAACCTACGTATTGCAAAGGTCCACTGTGTACCTGGAAAAGTCAACTCAGAATGGCCAACACTGAAACACACTTAGTGAAACTATTAGACTTTCAAGATTTTTTTTTTAAAGTCCTTTAAAAGGCATCCAGGCAAAATAACCAAGTCGTTTATAAGGGGAAAAACTGTCATCAGACTTTGATAGCAGTCACAGTATAGCAGTAACATACTGACATACTGAAGATACTCAAAGAGGAAAACGTAAGCCAAGGATTTTATAACCAACCAGACTGTCAAGAATAAAGATCATAGATGAACAGTTTTGAACATGGAAAAACTCAGGGAAAACCATCCCTGGGGATGCTGTCTGAGGAATCTCATAGACAACAAATATGAACCAAACCAAATATCTGGAGAGGCTTCATCATGAGAATTGGTAGGAAGCATTAAATATATATTTACCCAGAAAACTAAGGCAAAATGATTAGTCAAATAAGAAATGGTTATATATTTTGACAATGTAGATTCAGTGTATCTATCAAAAAGTACTAGATGAAAATCAACAGCTATGGGGTGGAAAACATCTTTCAACATATGGCATGAAATCCAAAGTCACACAAAGATTTGTAATTTTACTACATAAAAATTTTAAACTTTTATATGGTCCAAAACACCATAAACAAATTCAAAAAATCAAGCAACAGACCACATAAAAATATGTGCAATAACGCTCATATCACATTGAAATATAAAGGGCTCTTTGAATCAATAAGGAGTTTAAAAATGAGAAAAAACACACTATAAATTATAAATATATGTGAGAGCTTGTTCACACTGATTAATAAGTTTAAAATACACAGTAAAATAATGACCTATATTTGTCAGGCTGGCAAACATTGATAATACCAAATGTCAACAAGGGTGTGGGGAAATATTTATTTACTGAGCATACATCATGTGTAAGGACTTATGTTGGATGCTATAGATACAAATATAAGTAATATAGAAACAGTGTTCCAGTCCACAAAGAACTTATATTTTTAGGGGGTGTACAAGGGGGGAGAAGGAAATTTTTTAAATGAGTACATCATTATTTAAATGCAATTCTGATGTGCTACAAAGGAGAAATACAGGGTGCTTTGAGAGGGAGGACCTGATGTAATTTGAGCAGAGGTATTCTTAGCCACTGTAAATTGATCAACTCTTTAGGAAAATTGGCAAAACCTTACATATCCACAATGTTTGTCTCAATAATTCTACTCCTAAATTGCAAGTCTACCAAAATACATAATTGAGCAGATATATACACAAAATGATGCTTATGCAACATTGCTTATAACAGAAAAAAGAAATAATTCAAACCTTTATCAGTAGGATATTGGCTAAATGAGGGTATATCCAACAAAATTCAACCATCAAAAAGATTATATACAACCAAAAATAATAAGATACCTAGGAATAAACCTTCTGCACAGTGAAGGAAACAATCAACGAAACTAGAAGGCAACCTATGGAATGGGATAAGGTATTTGCAAATGACATATCTGAATAAGGGTTAGTATCCAAAATATATAAAGAAATTATAAAACTTAACACCAAAAAGCCTCAAATAACCCAATTTAAAAATGGGCAGAACTAATATAACACGGTATGTTAGCTAACTGGAATTAAAATAAAAACCTTTAAAAATGGGTAGGACACATGAACAGGCATTTATCCAAAGAAGACATACAGATGGCCAACAGACACATGAAAAGATGTTCATCATCACTTATCATCAGGGAAATGCAAATCAAAAACTACAATAAGATATCACCTCACACCAGTCAGAACAGCTAAAATCAACAGCACAAGAAACAACAGGTTTCTTGTGGCGAGGATGTGGAGAAAAAAGGAACTCTTGTGCATTGGTGGTGGGAATGCAGACTGGTGTAGCCACTGTGGGAAACAGTATGGAGGTTCCTCAAAAGTTAAAAATAGAACTACCCAATGATCCAGCAATTGCACTACTAGATATTTACCCAAAGAATACAAAAATATTTTTCAATAATTCAAAGGCATACATGCACTCTGATGTTTATAGCAGCATTATCTACAATAGCTAAATTATGGAAACAGGCCCAAATGTCTATCGACTAAAGAATGGATAAAGAGGTTGTGGTATATATAATGGAATACTACTCAGCCATAAAAAAGAATGAAATCTTGT